AATAGGTGGTTTTCCCCATGGTTCATTTGTGGGTCCTGGTATCACCACTGTAGGAAAGATGATTACACTACCTCCCTTTTTGCTTGGTTTTGTTTTGGTACTGCGGATCAAAGTGGGGTCCTTGTGCTTACGAGGCAGGCAGCAGCACCACTGAGCTAAATCCCCGGCCCACTACCTCTTATTTTTAGAAGCACTTAATGCAAGAAAGGTCAACAAAGTCCTTACTTTTAAAAAAAGGAGGGGTCTAATTCTTTACATTTAGTTGTAAACAGGAGAATATGGATTAGTTCCTTTGGAATATCTTTTTAATTATCCTTTGGTGGTAGTGATGGCAGAACTATGGATTGAACCCAAAGCCTCCATACTGAGCCACAGCCTCAATCCTTTTTTTCATTTTATTTTCACATTGTCTTGCTAAGTTACTCAGGCTAGACTTGAACTTGTGATCCTCTTGCCTCAGTCTCCCACAGTGCTAAGATTACAGGAGTGCATAACCATGCCCAACCTGGAGTATCTTTTTTTTCCTCATTGAGTTTATTGGTACATTTTAGGTGTACAGTACAGTTACATTCCTCATTGGGATCTTGTACCTTTACAGGACAGGTCTTGGTTCTCATTTTTTCCCCTTGCCCCTGCCCTCCCTTCACCCCCTCCTCCCTTCCCTATTTATAAATACTTTATTTCCATTTTTTCATTTTCTCATTTTCTTTTCTTTTTCCTTATTACCTTTCCCCTACCCTTCCCATTTCCCCCACACCTTTATGCCTTTTCTTCCTATTTAACATTGTCCATTATATCATTAGGATCTTATGTACCATTATAGTTTTTCACACCAGAGAAACTATTTGGTATTTATACATGTCTAACTTATTTATTTCATTTAGGAGTATATACTCAATATGTATCCATTTTCCTATGAATGACTATAATTTCTCATTCTTGATGGCTGAGTAGTATTCAATTTTATAGAAAAACCACATCTTCTTTATCCAGTCTCCAACTGATGGGCAAATGGGCTGTGTTCATGTTTCAGCTATTACAAACTGTGCTGCTATAAACATAGGTGCACATATATCACTGTGATATGATTCTTTTAATTCTTTTGGAAAGATACCCAACAGAGGGATGGCTGGGTCACATGGAACCTGTAATTCTAGTTCTTTTACGTATTTCCATAGTGGTTGCACCAGTCTGCACTCCCACCAACAATGGAGAAGGGCTCCTTTCTCCCCACACCCCACCAACATTTGTCATTGGTTGATTTCTTGATAGCAGCCATTCTTTGTGGGGTGAGGTGAAATCTCAGTGTTGTTTTCATCTGCATCTCTAGAAATACCAATGATGTGGAACATTTTTTCATATATTTAGTTGATGTTTTTACTTTTTTGTCCGAGAAATGTCTGTTCATTTCAGATGCCAATATTTGAATAGGGTCTTTATGTCTGAGGGGTCTGATTTTTTTGAGTTCTTTATATATTCTAGATAATAGTCCTTTGTCTGAGGAACAGCTGGTAAAATTTTTTTCCCACATTGTAGCTTGTCTTTTAGTTCTGTTGATGGTTTCTTTTGCAGTGCAGAAGCTTTTAAATGAGATCCCAGTTGCTGATCCTTTCTGCTAGTTCCCATGCTACTGAGGATTTGTTCATAAAGTCTTTTCCTATGCCAATGTCTTCAAGAGTTCTGCCTAACTTATCTTCCAGCAAATTTAGTGATTCTTTTAATATTTAGATCTTTAATCCACTTGGACTTTAGTTTAGTGCATGGTGAAAGATAAGGGTCTAGTTTTAATCTTTGGCAGGCTGAAATCCAGTTTTTCCAACACCATTTATTGAAGAGGCTCCAGTGAGGAAGGTTGGCTCATTTGTCAAAGATGAGGTAGCTGAGTACATCTGGAGTTGTTCTTGTATCTTCCAATCTATTCCACTGATCCTCAGGTCTGTTTCTTTGCCAGTACCATGCTGTTTTTATCACAGTGGCTTTGTAGTATAGTTTCAAATTAGGAATTGTTATACCTGCTGCCATGTCTCTGATGCCTAGGATGGCTTTTGCTATTCTAGGTCTCTTCTAGTTCCAAATGAATTTTTGGATTATGTTTTTCTAGTTCTTTGAAATATACTGTTGGAATTTCAACTGGCATTCCATTGAATGTGTATAGCAGTTTTGGTAGTATGACCATTTTCACTGTGTTGATTCTTCCTACCTAGAAGCAGGGGATATCGTTCCATTTTCTTATATCCTCTTTGATCTCTTTTTTCAGAGTGCTGTAGTTTTCAGTATAAACGTCTTTTGCTTCTTTCGTCAGGATTGATTCCTAGATACTTCATTTTTTTGGATGCTACTGTGAAAGCAATTATTTCCCTAATTTCTCTCTCAGTGAGTTTGTTATTTGTGTACAAGAAGGCTATTGATCTTAGGTAACCTTATCAAAAAAAAAAAGGAAAGAAAGGGCTCAGATCCATGTGAAAAAGGTGAAGTCACAACAGATCCAGCAGAAATCCAGAGGATCATCAATACCTACTTCGAGAACCTGTACTCTTAATAAAATAGAAAACACAGATGAAATGGACAGATTTCCAGATACTTATGAATTACTAAAGTTGAACAAATAAGATAAAAACATTTTAAACACCCCAATTACAATCAGTGAAATTGCAAATGTAATTAAAAGTTTACCAACAAAGAAAAGGCCAGGTCCTGATGTTTTTACTGCTGAATTTTACAAGACATTTAGAGAAGAACTACTGCCACTGCTCTTTAAATTTTTCAATGAAATTGAAAGGGAAGCAATACTTCCAAATTCATTGCTGAAAGCAAGTATCACTTTCATTCCCAAACCAGGGGAAGACCCAACTAAGAGAACTACAGGCCAATCTTCTTAATGAAGATAGATGCAAAAATCCTTAATAAGATACTAGCAAACAGAATACAGAGGATCATCAAGAAGATCATACATCCTGACCAAGTCGGATTTATTCCAGGGATGCAAGGATGGTTCAACATACGTATGTCAATAAATGTAATACACTACCATAACAGAGTCATGGAGTATCTTTTTTACAAAGGCAGATAAAATCCACTCTGCAATTTACAGACATAGTTCCAGGGGAAAGGTACACAATACAGATATAATACATGTTCTTTCACCTGTCAATGTCTTCCAGCTTTTCATCAATGAGAGGTCCCATCTGGTGACACATTGCTAAGATGATAAGAATTGAAGAAGACATAAGAAAATACAACAAAAGAAACGGAACTTTGAGAAATATTCATTTAATGAAGGAATAAAAGGTTTAATTTGGGATAATACAAACTTCATTAATCTTGGTCAAAAACTCAAAATTGATTTTCTTAAAGTATAATGGTGATAATCTAAAATATCAATCTCCAAATTTAAAACTTTTTCATTTTACAATATTCTAAGATGTTGAGTAAAATATTTAATTTGGATTAAAAGTATAAGAATTCAGACTCTACCCATGGTTTAAGAAGGGAAGCTGAGTCAAAGAAAGTAAAAAAGTTACATTTATAAGATCATTCTCAAATTCATTCTTTTCCAAAACAGCAGATATAATGTCTAGTTATACTTTGTTTTTGCAAGGTAAACAAAAAAACAAGATTTACCTTCAAGATGAAGAAGTTCTGGCAGATCTGGCTGATTATCACTGGGATCTGTACTTTGCAACATCTGTAACAACTGGTCCATTTTATCCTACAGGAATTAGTTAATATAAAAAGCATCCAATCTTAGTGAACCACTACATTTCCCTTTGTTAACTAGATAATGGATATAAATTTTTATATTTTTGTATAATTTAGCATTATAGACTCCAATTTCACTTATGTTTTCAGCTCCCAAGTATTCTCTTTAGCAGATAACATGTGAAGTGAAAGCCATTCCTACATAGTTTTGAAACTAACAGATTCTCTTAAATTAGAAGAAACCGAGCCACATTTAAACTTTTGATGCGTGAGCTCTTCAATCCCTTACACATCATGCTGAAGAGTTCCACTTTGTTCGGAGCAGCCGCAGCGTGGCCACACGACAGGTGTGACATTGCGCTGAAGACCGCTGGCTCTGACTAATGGTGCGGCCATCCCCTGCCCGGCGGGAGCCCAGCAGCTGCTCCCATCAGGCAGCCCGCTTACAGCTGATCTTGGAAGAAAGGCCAGAAGGGTTTGCTGTATGCTTTCTTTCCACAATGTCTCAGTTTGTTATGGAAAGGAGGAAAATCAGCAGCTTCTGGATTCTCCCAAGTGCAAAAGGCTGGAAGGTATCTTGGACCTATGTACTCAGATCTATTTCAGAATCTTTTGTTGTAAGGAACAGAAGAACTAATAAAATCATAACTGTGCAAATATATACACCATGTAAGTACATATATATTTTCCTAATCAAACTAGTTCTAAGCCACCAAAGAAGACAAATACAGTAATTACAACTTTCTCTGAGCCGGGCGTGGTGGCGCATGCCTGTAATCCCAGCACTCGGGAGGCTGAGGCAGGAGGATCACTGTGAGTTCGAGACCAGCCTGGGCTACATAGTGAGACCCTGTCTCAACTACAGAGTGAGACCCTGTCTCAAAAAAACAAAACAAAACAAAAAAAACAACCTTTCTCCATGCACAATTCTTATAATTAAGTCTTTATAATAAAGACTACCAATTCTAAGAAAAGCAGTAATTCAAAACAAAAACAAAAAATATTCTGTGAAGGAAAACAGTTCGAGGATGAATTAATCAGAGTGAAAGTAACAAAAATGCATTAAAAACTCAAATGAATTCTGCATTTTGAAATAGATACTTTTCAAAATAAAGGATTCATTTGCCATTTTAAGAATTATACGAAAAGGAAAACACATATCAGAAAAATTTGTACAGCACCCTCCCCCCCGCAAAAAAAAGGTAAAATGAGAGTGGAGAGTCAATTAACATTTGGATACCATTTTGCTTTTTATTTGAAACTATCTGCTGTCAAGGAAATGGGATTTCTCTACAGAGCACCAGGCTACATGGGTTTCCTTCTGTAATCTCACCAAACTCAATTCTCCCTGACTCAGAGGGGACTCTCTGGCCCTTAGCAATCTTCCACACCCTGCTTCTCTGAAAGAATGGTCTTCAAATAACTCCGGCCTCTTTTAAAAGAATGCTAAAAACCTGTAACACCCTTCACGCATTTTAGAGATGACTTCTCATTTTTCAGAAGTTGAGTATGTTTCAAAGGATATGATTTCCAGGACATTAAATAAAAAGTAGTTACATTCATCTAAACATATCCAAAATAATTAAAAAATATCGCAATTTATATTCATCATTGCTATTTCAAAAACAGTCTGGGGCCAAGGCTGTGGCTCAGTGATGCAGCACCTGCCCTGCAAGGCTCTCGGTTCAACTCAGCACCACAGAAAAACAATAAAAAATCAGACTGTTAGGAATTTCAAAATGCTCCTTTTATCTCCCTGAACTCAATACAAGTTGTTACAGCAACATCACTGCATGGTTTCAATATTTTAAGTTTTATGGACAAGTGGTGGCAGATAGTGCACTCAGGCAGGTCACTCTTAGAAAAAAGTACTTATGGAAAACGAGGGTCTGAAAAGATTCTCCTACAATGATCTATACCTGGGGCCAGCAAACACTTTCAGATATAAGATTAGAGCTTTTAGGCCACATGATCCTCTCCTGCTATTACTTGGTTCTGCCCATTTAGCAGCCATATACAATATGGAAACAACGGAGTTGTGTTCCAATTTGACCTGGGGGTGAAAATATCTTATATGGCTTGCTAGTTTTATAATACTGTACTGTTAATTTAACAGTTACGTTAATATCATCATTTGAAAACGTAATAAGTTTGAATAGAAAAAAACCACAAGCATGCTTAAAGATGAAAAAGTAACCTGTTTGATCTTCTTTGCCTTCTACGTGATAATAGCAGAGGTTTTTATTAAGCTTAAGTAAATAGGTTACAGTAACTTAACTAAAGCAAACCTCAAGTTTAAATCTTAATAATATATAAATTTAGTACTACTATTGAGCCCCAAAGACTATGGATCGAGCTGCCACCAAACTGACACTGTATTTCAAACATTATCACTGAAAACACGCACTGTTTCAGACATGACAGTGACACATGGAGACACTTAACATGAAATTAGCATAAGCTTTTCCAAAGTACCCAAAAGTGGTCCATCCAAGGAGAAATCATGACTCATTCCCATGAAATGGTTTATGGAGTAGTAATAAATGGCAGTTTAATTTTGAGAAACCGCAATCTGTTTTATTCACAGAACAGATAGTCAATAAATGTCTTTTCAACAAGTAATTCTAATGTGCTTGGTAAAGACAAGCAGAAACAGGCACTTTGATAATATGGATGTGAGTGCTAAAATCCCACCTTGCATACTAACTTGGCAATTCTATTAACATGGAAACCACACAGATCCATTAACTTGACAATTCCATTCTTGGATATGTAAAGAATCACAAAGACACAAGTGCAAAAAGTCTCACTATGACACTGTCTGCAACACAGTAGCAGTAAAAACTGTGAATACCCACAGTATGCAAGAGAATAATTAAAACATGATTCCATTCTATGAAATGCTAGGCAGGAATTTTCCCCTGGGTTCTGGGGATAAGACCCAGAATCTCACATCTGCTAGGCAAGCATTCTACCACTGAGCTACATCCCCGACCTGAACAGAAGGTCCTGGAAGGGTCAAAATGATATTGGAGAGGAAGTTCTGAGAATACTTTGTCTGTACTGTCTGAATTCTTATAACAAGGAAATACAGATTACTCAAGTAACCGACCGCTTTAAAAAGAAAGCAAAAACATTCCAACTTCAACACAAAGCACAACCATTACCACCAAGGAACTCACTTACTTCATCGATAAAAGCTGGCTCCGGCTCTGGCTCTATCGTCTCTACCTGGACGTCATCACTGAACTGTACTGTCTTCTTCTCGGTTTTAACTGTAAGACACGTAACAATTACCTTTCTGTTTAATAAATTTAAGATTATATTTAAAATGCTAAGTCAGATGTCTAAGATAGATAGAATTTAGATTTTTTTCCTTTAGTCCCCTCAAGCAGAGACTCAATTTACAGACTCCTAACAGACACTGATATATAAAATTCTATCAAGATTTCTTAATTTTCCCTTGTAAAGATTTTAAGGATTCCATAAAAGAGACTTCAGTAAAAAGAGTTATGCTTCTAGAACAAAAATTAATCACTCACTACCTAAGATTTCCATAAACTGTTAGGGAAAAAAAGGTTTTATAATGGCATAAGTGAATTCTCCAATTTAAAACAAATTCCTTCCTAAATTATTGGTCTGTTCAAAGATAAATCTCATTTGATAGGAATACCACCCTATTTCAAAGTAACAAACTGAACATACACTGTCTGCCCTCTGGCACACCACCCAGACTGTGCCAAGCCAGTGACACCTAGGCCTGCAAAGAACTTTACAGATGGCCTTGACGGGCTCTGGACTGTCCCTCATACCAGCCTGGATTTTCCAGTTAGGTTAGACTTTGAAATAACAAAGAAGTCGTTAAGAGAATGGAAAACCAATGAATGGAAGCACATCTCTTGCTCACCAAAGCAATCTTTAAAAACTATTTCATATAACTTGTAGATAGAAGGTCATTAATAAGGAACTCCCAAATAATATGGAGAGGCACACGCAGTTCTAAGGGAATGAACTTCCTTCCTGTACTGTTTCTTCCCCCTACGAAGTCAATCAGAATTCATAAAAATATGAAGAATCAAGATGGAAGGGGAAATGTCAGTGGCAGAATCAATGACGAGAAATATTTACTTCACTATCATTGTGCCTGAGGAATATTTCATTTCTCCCCATGAATCTCAAAAAAATTCAATGTGGTATGCCCATTTTATAAATAAGGTGGTTGCAAAGATGAAAAGTCCACTCACAAGAGACAACTAGTAAAGGGTGAAGCCTGGATTTGAATTCCAATCTACCTCATGCTATGTTCCCATCCCCAACCTGCAAGCTGGCCTGTGACTTTGCTCTTTGAACAAGAAGTCATGTCATGTGACTACTTTGTGCTGTGTACTTCCATATGAAACAGAGATTGTTCAGTATCCAACACAAGGACTACATTCATCCCATCTGACCACAATAAAGCAAAACACTCTACACACAAAAAAGTTTCAGCTGATTCATTTACTGACAGGGAGAAGTGCCATCTGCTACAGGTAATTTAGCTTTTTATCTTTTTATGGCTGTTACCCGCGAGAAGACATAGCAGATTTCATATAGCTGACAATGTGTAAGTCTATAATTCTTTTTCTCATAGCAACTAATACTATGTGTCTGCGGTATATAAACAATTGTTTATATACATATAAAAGATAAAGTTTTTTTTTCTTGGTACCAGGGATCGCGAGGCAGGTGGAGGAACCACTGAGCTAAATCCCTGGCCCAAAGTGTTTTTATAGTTTTTGTTACATCTCCAAAACAAATTAGGTAGGGCAGATGTTTCTACCTGACAGGCTAAATGAAGTGGGCTTCTACTGTCTCTAAAGAGCAATACTAGGAGATCATGCTAGCATTCATCTTACAAGCTTGAGAAACAGCCACATTACTTAATCCCCCGACCCTCTTGCTGCTCTTCTAGACTGCCCAGAGTGAAATGCAAGGCTAGAAGACTCATGTTAAAGCTCACTGACATATGAAGAAAAGAGATGGGACGGCCACATGCTCTACGTGACACCTGGGATCTCATCTTGAACAGAAGCCCAAGACAATTCTAAGCTTCCCGAAAGCTGATTCAAGGACCAAAAAAGTATGAAAACTCAAAGCATAAACACACACGCACATGTGTGCATACACACTCAACACACCACCACCAACAGCACCAGCACCAATCCAGATTATTCAGAAAGCCAGCACAGGGCAGGAGATATGGTTCAGTGGTAGAGCACTTGCCTACCATGTGCAGGGACCCGGATTCAACTCCCGGTACCACAAAAACAAAACATAACAAACAAAAAGTACTAAAATCCTCTACAGGGTATGGTGTTGCACACCTGTAATCTTTGAGCCCTGGGATGCAGAGGCAGGAATATCACATGAGCACAGCTTGGGAAATTTAGTGGCTTAGCAAGACCCTGTCTCAAGACTGAAAAAAACAAAACAAAACAATGTAAAAGGCTGGGATATAACCCAAAGTGAAGGTGAAGGCCCTGTAAGTCATCCCCAATAGCCCTCCAACACACAACAGCACACTGCACAGTGCTATCTGAACAAGGTAATACACATTTGTGAGTTCTAAGAAGAAAGTGTGATCAGAAGTATGGGTATCAGGCACCTGTCTCTATAAAGGTAACATAAAGACAGTGGCAAAACTATGAGAAGACAGTGCTTTATTAAAGATCTGTAACTTCCGATGTTAATGTAAAGTCTCTTCACTGCCAACACGTATTTATGTACTATTCCATAAGTATTTATGTAATATATTACTAGGTGCGGTGGGACAAAAAGACGGCCAAGACAAAGTCCTTTTTTCAAATTCTTACGAACTAACAAAGTGGTTTATAACTTTCATCTTTTCTATCTGACGCCACATAAAGATGAAATGAGATGTTCTTCCACAGAACTGCAGCTTACCAACTTATATATAAATACTCTAAAAAAACCTCTAAAAACCTGAAACCTTTCAATCACTGATATAAATCTTTCTAGGCATGAACATTTTCCTGTTTATTTAGAGAGGGAGACTTTGACTTAAATCTTCTGTATGACTCAAGCTCAAGCTTAAAAATTATTTTAGGTGGAATACTATGTACAAATCTGGCCGACCGTCTCCCAGTACTTTAACAGAATACATTTAAGTTGTATCTCCTGCAGCTATCAGGGCTGCCACAAATATCACTTCTCCTCCAAAACCGAACTTTTTGGAAATGAACTTTTCTAGAAACAAACTTTACAGTTCATTCCTCCTCACCAGCAAAGTTTAGAAATCAAACACTATACAATTAGTTAAGTATCAGTTGATACGGCTCCATCTGTATTTCAGACATGGTGGCTTAGGACCATTATAATGCTTCAAGCCCACTGCTGTCACATGTAGGGCAAGACACCAGGCACTGCCCTGACCTGTGAGATTACAGTGCATTCGTTACACCTTCATCAGTTGATTAAAGACACGTAATAATTCCATGACACTTAGTAGATTTGTACTTGTTCAATGGCACCTACCCAGATAAATACAGCTAATTTTTTAAAAGTCCATACTGTATCTAAAGTTAGTCTTGGTAGAGAGGGGATTTCAATTCTTAGATTTTTTTTTTTTCTCTCATAATCTGCCTAGGCACTTGAATAAAAAAACCACTGTGGAGGCACTAACTTCCATGAGTCATTGCTTCAGAAAATTAATTAAGTAGAAGTTTATGGACTATCTGGCATTCAGCAATAGACTGAAAAATACTTACTCATTTCTGGTTCAGCAGTGAGATCCGCAGTCACAAAATTAGAGGGAAATAACCCGATGCCCTGATGGGTTTCACCTTTCCACCAGTTTGGATCACTATGATGAACAAAAAGGAACAGTTTACTGTAAAAAAAAAGAAAAAAAAAGATTCCTATAGTCCACATGGTGGTGGCACATGCCTATAATCCCAGCACTTGGGAGGCTGAGGCAGAAGGATCACCATGAGCTCAAGGCCAGCCTAAATTACATAGCAAGAGCCTGTCTCAAAAAACCAAAATGATAAATTAAAAAATTTTAAGACATCTATAAGCTTTTATCTCTATAAATCTTTCTCTGATATATTTAACTTATCACCAGATTGGAATCCCACAACAACCCAGTAAAGGAGCCAATGAATGCATATTACAAATAAGAAGTGAGTCCTCAAAGACAAAACACTACTGCATAGTTCTCAATCTCTGTGAAAGCTAGTGAATGCTTGGAGAATCTAATAAGCTGTGAATTCTCTTCTAAAAGAGGCCTTTGTGCTTATAAATTGTCAGCTTTAGGTAGTGCAAGGCACCAGCACAGATGTTAAGGTAGGCTTTTAACATAAACCTTCATTCCTAAACCGTCGCTCTTTCTAGTACACATTGACAAGGTTTTTTTCTCCCAACAGAACATGTCTGAGAGAGGATACCATTCGTAGTACCAAACATTCACAAGGAGTGTACATGCACGTTTATTTTACCACTGTCTCCCCCGCGCCCAGTACATGGAAAGTTAGCAAGCACTCTGTGGATGTTTTACCGCAGAATGCATGACAAAGTTTTATGCAATTTCTGGTTAACCAGCTCAAACTTTACACCTCTTTTTTCTCACTCAAGAAAACATATTTATATAACACTGTGGTCTGAATACTTGTCCCCCTGAAATAACGATTAGGGTTACATTGCAATCCTGGCGGGAGGTGGGGCCTCTGGAAGTTGATCTGGTCAAGAAGGCAAACTTTCTTGAATGGAAGCAGTGACACTATGGAGGCTTGAGAGAGTGTCATGTGTGAGCAGTGACTGCTTTGCTGTCTATGACAGGAAGAGGGTCCTCACAGGACAGGAAACCTAACGGCCTCGATCTCGGACTTTCCAGCATTCAGAGCTACGGGAAAGTTCTGTTGCTTAAAAACCACCTTGTCTATGGCAGTTTGTCATAGCATCCAGCAGGACTAACACAGCAAGTGATACTACAGAAATAATCCGAAATTAATTTGAATTTATTTTTCAAAAGCAGCTGCAAATCTCAGTACTTCATGTTTAGTAATGATAATCTGTAATGATTCATTTCCAAGCACAACATCACAGAGTTGTACCTTAAAAACAAAACCGATGGACTGGACCCCTTCCTCTGTAACATAAATGTATAATTTCATGTAAAGTTCTTTTCTGTTGATACTATATGTTGATACTGTTCTGCACAAATAAAATCAAAAGACTATGCATTTCTAACAAATTCAGTATGCTCTCTAAAATTTAACTTAATTGACTTAACAGTTTATAATATTAGATGAAACCAAAGATGAAAAGATAAAACAAAAAAACAAAAAAACTAAATAAGTGAGAAAAAAATTATACTAAAAAATAAGGCTCTATGTAGTACAATACAAGCAAATCAACTGTTATTCTGAGAAAACATCTAGTCAATTATTTTCATTACATTTGGTCACTGCAATCAACAAAAATTTTATGAAACATAAAAATAATTAGACATTTTCACGAATGTTCAACTTATAATTTGCCATTACCTGTCATCAAGAACTGTGATGATTTCTCCAGCTTTAAAAGTGAGTTCATTATCTTCAGCAGCTTCAAAGTCATAGATGGCGCGGACTTTCCGGCCATCATGTTGGTGGTCAGTTAGAAGGTTGGACGTGCTCGGATACAGAGTGGACAGGGGAGTGGTCTGCTGCCTTTGCTCCTTGAGCGACAACTCAATGGCTGGAAAATAAAAGCCCAAAACATTCATCTTGCCAACAATGCAAAGAAGTACAAAAGGCATCACGACATAAAGAGTAATATAATAGTCTTTCAACTCCAACTGGATACCTGGATATATCCTGATACAATTCAGAGAACAAAAATTATTTTGGCACTTGTATTCATTTATTTCTAATTGAAAGTTTAAAAACAAATTAACAAAAGTCATGAGTTTTAAGAACAAATATAATTTAAATTATTCTAAGTAATAAAAATTAACTCTTTGGTACTTTTTTAACAGTAAGCATTTTATATTTTCTTGCATCTTTTTAACATACACACAGTTAAAATTTACAAAATGATAATCAAAATCACCTGGGAATCAAGAGGTCCACACCACACTGCAGATTTACTAAATAAGTATCACAAAAGTATCTTCTGAGAGCCTGAGTTTTATTGTCACAAAGGTAGCTGTTACGTCATCATTTGTTAGTTGAAAGACTCACCTAACAAATCCTCTCAAATGCCTCTCCCTCTGTCTCCCTCACTATGACAATATAGGAAAATATCTTTTTGGACCTTGAGATAGAGGATGTATCCTCAATAGGACATAAAAAGGTAAAACAGCAAAAAATGCAAAACTTTTTGCTATCACAATTTTAAATGTTTTTTTGTGGGGTGGTTCCTGGATACAGAAACCAGAATCAATGCACGCTAAGCAGGTGCTTTACCACTAAGCTGCATTTCAGCCCCTAACACTTCTACTGGATGGAGCACATCATTATCAAAGCTAAAATATACGACAACAATTCAGGTTAAGTATTTTACAATAGAAATAACAGTAACAGATTAATATCTAAAATAAAGACTTATACAAATTACCATTAAAATAAAAGCATAATAAAAAAAGACAATTCACCTAAGGTGATCAGAATAGCCAGCACACACACACACACACACACACACACACACACACACACACACAGCATCAACCTCACAAGTAGCCACGGAAATAAAAAAAATAAAAATAGTTGAATATTATTTTGAACCTATCAGATTCAGAAAAATTTAACAATAACAAGCTTTGTCAGATTCAAAAGTCATAATAATAGCTTCCATACATTGTTGATGGAAGAAAAAAGTCAAATAACCATTTATCAAAGTTGAAGATACACCTATCCCATGATCCAGCAATACCACTTTTAGTCACACATGAGAAAGTTACCCCTGCAATCACAAAGAATGTGCACAAGGCTCATCACAACATCACTTGTTACAGTGAAAAAATCAGAAACTCCATAAATGTCCAGAGGATGACAGCAGAGGCGTGCTGCATCCATACACAGGAGCAGGACACAGCAGGTACCTCTGCAGAAGAGGGGAGAAATGACACCAGGAGGGAAGCCAAGGAGATTTCTGCTTTAGCTGTGAAGCCCTATCTGCTCTATCTTTAAAATCTTCGGGAAATAACACTAGTTAGGAATATGTCTTCTTCCCGCCATCAAGGAGTTAAAAACCTACCTTTTGCTAAATCTTCTTCTTCTTTTTTGTTAGCCACAGTACCAGGATCCTTGGCTACGAGAGCTGGGCTTGCTTTGGCCTGTTCTGCAGCCTGACATAAAGCATAAAGAACACAGAGTGTGAGGCTTGTTCACAGGCTCTCGTGCTCACACCTGATCTAAGAGCTCACAAGGTCCCTGTCACCATCAACTACAGACTCGTGAAGAAGACAAATTGGATGAGCGTCCTCCTTGAAAAGAGGGAAAAGAGTCAGAATTGGGGCAAACCACAAGGGGGAGGAAGGAAAGGGGAAGGGGACATAAAAAGAATTAAGAGGCACTACATACATGTACCAATTCCCCACAACGAATGCAATCACCATGTACTGCAAACAGGTAATAATGGAAATAAAACTTTTTTTAAAAAAGAAAAATTGCAGAGCCCTGTCATACGCTAAACACAATTAAATAAACAGTACCCACACCCCTAAAAAGAAATAAATTGAGAGAAACTGCCCGAGAACAACTGGACACACGTCAAATACACACCCTCAAATTCGTATAAGTAGCTCAACAGTATGCAAAGCAGAAAAAAACACAGGAAATTCTAAATTTGTAAAAAAAAATTTTAAACCAGAAAATAAATGAGTAAAGGGGAGCAAATTATTTTAAAGCTTTAAAAAAAAAAAATGTAAGACCTATTCAAGTTATAGTTTACTGCTTCTTCCACATCAAGATACCACCCTTAGCAAACCAGACTTCTATGTAACAATATAAATGCTCATAAAATCCTGTTTTGTAAACCAAAATGCAGTTGATGCTGACAGTATGTTAATGCCTATGCTGAACATAGTTTGTAACTGAGGCAATGCTCTAATAAACAAAAATACAAACTGGTTCACGGTGCCGGAATTACAAGCGCCCAGGCCCCATGCTTTCTATGCCCTTAGTTTCTGTGTGTCTGTAACACAAGTCAGGGTCCACCTGTCTATCAGCCTCGCTTTCAAGCATTTTACCCGTTACCAGAGCTGGCGGCGGCTCCCAGAGTCCACACACCGGCACTTCCACCCCTAGGCACATTTGCTCCACTTACAACGCTCCTCTTTCTTGGGGCCCGAGCTTCATCCACTTTTCCCTCTATGAGTTAGTAAATAGTGAAAGTATCACTTTCCCAATGAAATATTCCTAAACCTTTAACCAAGCATTCTCTCCTGTGTTCCCCTGCTAACACTTTGAAATAGGATGCTATAAGGGCGGAATAACGCAAGCTGTGGAATCAGACATGGGTTCAAATCCCACACCACTCTCCAGCTGTGTGACATGAAGCACATTAGCCTCTTTGCGCCTCAAGTTCCTCAGCAATGAAGCGAGGGTAATCACAGCACCTGTACCTCACGGGCACCTCACAGCCTCTCTGGAGGGTGAAACGAACTCACACGACTTCCAAATAAGAGGAGATGATGGCCGTTCAGGTGTAAGCAACAGTGCAACATTATCTCCAGGGTCTCTGAAGTTGGCAGAGATAATCCACAGCCACAGCACAAGGGATGACGACGCCGGGGCTCAAGTGAGCCATACGGCTGCAAGGTTTCTATATTTTACATCAAATAACACAACAGTAGCGATGCAGACTGTAAACAGTTACAAACAACAGTTGTGATCCCCAGAGCAAAGAATTACGAAAAATCACACGGCAGCACCTAGAACCATGCTGCTAGTGCAGTTTCTACTGGAATTACCTGCTTCGTTTCTGTCTCCGCAACTGAAGTGTGCGCCCCGTGAGGGAATGTTCCTAACTATTAGAAGCAATTAGTAAACGTTTGTTGAGTGTAATGAAGGCAAAACATTCAGTGTTATTATAAAATATAATTCCATATTCTTCACTTACTGTATTTTGCCAAACAAGTGCACAGGAACTTATTTTTAGAAAGGCTGGTAAGAAAAAAGCTTTTTGAATGTAACTTTTAAGCAGTGTCAATTCTGACCCATCTCTAGTTATAGTCTTAGAAGTACAATTATTATACACCCTGAAATTGAAAGTATCCTAGGTCTGGGAAAGCCTCTATCATTTATGCGAATTTTTTTCACATTTGGTGAATTTCACCATCTAGTCTGTGGCCTTTGAAGGAATCTTTATCACCTGGCAGGGCGTGCTGAAACAAACTCCCAAATCACACTTTTCAGTGGTAGATACAACATAAATTTTCTTAATACTTTTACATTATTTTCTTCTGTACTTGAATGAAAAACACACAACAAAACTCTGTGTTTTCAGTATGCTCTGACAAAAATCTAACTTGATGAAAACGTGGTGATGCTTTAGGCAACTTAAGTGGGTTTAAAATTTGGAGGAAGGTCTGCAGTTGAACTTATATAATTTCTCTCCTTATTGGCAGGAGGAGGATAGTGGAGATTGAACACACACTGGGTTGAACTTGCAACTGTCCTGCCTCAGCCTCCCAGAGTGCTGGGATTACAGGTATTTAAATATTTCTTGTGCTGAAAGATAACTAACAAAGTTAGCTTTAGCATATTTTATAATATTTGGATGAAAAGAAGAAAAATCTTAACTGTCCTATTAGTCTTCTTTGACCTAAATATTTTGAACAAGGGAATAATCTAATTATTCACTCAAGAAAGAAACCCTCCTGCCAATGCTGACTACTTTTGATCCTTTGAAGCCAAGTAGGGACAGACACGTTTCCACTAAACTCCATCAAAAGGCAGGCAAAACCAGGGAATGCCAGGAACACTGGACCGAGAGTCAGCACGCCACGTTCTAGTTCCAGCTGTCAGCCACAAGCTGTGACCCTGGGAAAGTTACTCTGCTGTTCTCAGTCTCAGAGTCCTTATCTGTAAGAGGAGATCAAAGCAGAGGAAACCTCGAGTTGTTCCCACAGCTATCTAAGATCTTAGGTTAACCAAGCAAGCACACGTGTCTCACAAATCACTACCACCTTCTAGAAGCAAGCCCACGGGTAGTGAAACTGAAAGCTTTCCCTTGCACTTTTGAAAGCTGTGCTCCAGGGCTTCTTACACGCCAACGTGCACACAGAGGCACCTAGGACCTTGCAGCATGGAGTCTGCAGCATGGAGGGCACCTGAGTGATTCATCCTAACACACTGCCAGGTGACGGGGACGCTGGCCAACGAGTCACATTCTGTGGAACACTTAATGCCTTCCAACTGAACATCTACACTCTGGTTCTCTGTGCTGAGTCTACCCTCTGACAATAAAGATCGTTTCTACTGTCAAAGAATTTTTAGTGTCTTAGATTACTCTGCATCAAATTATTCCTTAACTATACGCTCTCATAAGTGTTCCTGGTAAAAGCTAGCTGTCGATTATGAATACTTCTAAAGACACAATGTGACTTCTCAAGTGAAAACTGCCCTTTGCTTCCTTCTTCTTTCAGATATATTTCTGGATGTTCACATCTCAAGAGCACTCAGATAAAATGTAAATGCCTTGGGAAGCAGATCATCTGCATGATTCCTGAAAGGGGTTGAAGGCCCTGCACAGCCGAGGTGTGCACTCCGAACTCAGGCTGCTCGTAATACACCTGCCCCACATCAGGGGAAAGAAGTACACTGAAATCCCACACCCCTGTAGCCTCTGCAGAGCGGACACAGATCCACTGATCCCATTACACAATCATGTATATTTGCATGTCATGGGCGAGGGGGGTACACCCTTCAGTCAGCCACTTCTGTTGAGGGAAGGAAGATTTATGATAGGTTAGCCTTGAGTCGGGAACAAGGTGCCTCATGTGCTCCTCTCACCATTAAACCCTCTGATCTCCTTCCCATCTTCAATGGTTATCATCAAAAAATCGAACAACAACAAATGTTGGTAAGGCTGCAGGGAAAAAGGACCCTTCTACATTGCTGGTGGGAAAGAAAACCAGTACAGCCACTACCGAAATCAGTATGGAGATTCCTTAAAAACTAAAAGAAATACCATTCAACGCAGCTCTTCCCCTTCTAGGTATCTTCCCAAAAGAGTTAAACATATTGTATTACAGTGGCAGGTGCATTCCCACGTTTATAGCAGCACAACTCAGAATAGCTAAATTGTAAAAGTAGGCTGTATGTCTATCAACAGAAAAATGAGTAAAGAAATGTGGTGTTTACACACAACAGAGTACTACTCTGCCATAAAGAAGGGTGAGCTTGAGTCATTTATAGGAAAATGGATGCACTTCGACACCATGATGTTAAGGGAGGTAAATCAGACACACAAGATTCTTATATGAGAAACCAAGTATAAACAAAGAGTAAGAGAAAAGATGGATAATATGAAGTAGGGAGATCATGTGAGCTCATCTCTAAATTTTAATAATATCTCAATTTTTAAGCTATCATTCTTTGCCGATAAAATTATAGCATCAAGAGCATTTAACAAGATTGCCAGTATCTAATATAACTGTATCCATATAAAAATATATAAAAATTTTAAAATTATAAAATCTAAATCAATTAATTTACAAAGAAAAGATAGTGAGAAAGTGGAAGATTCCACTCTAACATTTTCTTTCACCTTTAAATACGACTATGATTAACAAAAATTTTCTGAGTAGTAAAATACCACGTAAAAATGGAGGAAAAAAGAAAAGTTCCAATAAATGTAGCTGTTTTAGAGAAACTGAAGCGCACACCACTTTGCAAGATACCTGAGAACCAATAGCTGGGAAAGTGACTCCTTGCTCTTTCAGGTTCTTAATCATTGCTGATATCAGACTGAGCTGCGGGTCGTTCTTAAATTCATCTGTCCACTCAACCATAAGAGCTTTTAGCTTCTCACACACTTTTGGATGACCCTAAAAAATAAGAACAAAAAATATCTGTTTTCTGGCTAATGATTTAAATAGACTCTATACATGTAAAGCTACACTAAAGTATTGTAGATCTCTTTCTGACTCACAAATTACAAATGTGAAAATAAGAAGATACAGCTAGCCGTTAAGAAAATCCACACTATGAAAAAGCACGAGAAAATGCTGTCGTGTGTCTCTCTTGAAAACTGAAACATATTAACTATATAATAACTCATTTTGAAGATCAAAAAGGACTTTTCAGAGTATTTCCCAACCAACCTTTGCCCACCCCCATTTCTTTGTACCAGGGATCGAACTCGGGTCCTTGGGGTACCAATGAGCTAAATCCCCAGCCCCAATTCCTTTATTCTTAATTTCTGAGTTTTAATATTCATCAATGTGTATTTTTCTCCTGATAATCTTCTGAAGCCTGATTTGAGGGATTTTATAAGAGCTAATCTGAAAAGTTTGTTTTTTCAAAATATTTCACCCCCTTAGGTATAAATTGTAAAACATTTGGAAAATAAAGTCCTCTCATTTATCTATAGCTATACTTCATAACAGCTGTTTGCACTACTACCTAAGTTTGTATATTGCATCTTATAGAAAACAGGACATTAGAATCTCTTCATAAACACTTACACATCTGATCAACATCCAGGACAAGAAAAGACAATGTTTATTAATTAGTAGAAAATAAGAATAACTGTATAAAAGAGAAAAGGAATTACATTAATCTTGTTTAAAAAGCACAAAATTTTCAATCGTCAGATTTCTGTGCCACTTTTTTCCTCTTAAAACATGGAACTACTCATATTTTTGCAAAAACACCTGAGGTATTTCTTTTTCAGTATTTACACTTTTTTCTTGATGCATTATACCAAAAATTTCTAAAGTCAGAAAAATTACCCTTAGAATAAATTTTCATTATGAAAACTCATATATTACTAACTTAAATTTTTAAAGCTCCTTGGATTGCGGGATCAAATTATTTATCCCACATGCAGTTCTATGCAGGGCCCCCTAGGCCTCCTGCTTTCCTCTGCCTCCCTTCTTGCCCTGATGGAGACATGCAGAGCACCTTGACCACCAGGGGCCTGGCCACTGCCATGTTTCCTCCACAGGCTTGACCCCAAGCCAGGGCCCTGAACACTCCCAGGCTATGGCTGTTGTCCGATACACTAAAAGATCAAATACGTTAACAGACACACAGACCTGCTCGAGCCCTGAGCAGGCGACTGTTCATACAAACTCCCTAACCTCACACATGCGTCACACACTCCTGCAGAGACACCCTGTTCACTGCCTATTATGAGAACACTGCAGTCTGCAGGTTGTAAGTTCTGCTGGAAAATGTTTTGGGCCCAGCACCCTGGCTTCAGCACATCTTTCCTCAAAATCATAACAAGCCCCATTTCGGGATGACCTGAGGCTGTTCCCGGCACCAATTCCCCTGAAACCACTTTGTGCCAACTCCGGCTGCCGGTGGGACCAGAGAGAACAATACAGTGTGAAAACTGTGATGGTCATGGCCAACACAGAAGGTAGAAATTCAACAGTCAACAACCTTGAGTTCTGGGCTTAGATTTTGGCACTATTTCTGAGGGGTTCCATATTAGGAAAATACCTTTGTGGCTACAAAATGGTTACAGAAACTATGCCTAAAACAGACTTGTATTATTATTTCATTAGCTATAGATATATAAATATTTTCTCAGATGAAAGGAATGATGCAAATAAGAAGCTAACTAAATACAATTTAATATAGCTTGAAAACACCAACTTTCAAAGTTATGTGAATTTGTAGTCTCTTTAGCAAAACCTAGTATTTCTTTATGTAATGCATACACATGGCGGGGGCAAGCACAGAATATCTGTGATTTAAAATGTGAAGAACTGAACAATAAAACACGTTAAGAAAGAAGATGGCCTTAACAACATTCCTTACCTTATTTAATACGTTGCTTACTTCACTAGCAAAATCTCTTGAACACACTTCTAAGTGAAAAATTTTGCCACAGTTTGATACACATGCTCCTAGAAGCTGAAAGCATAAAATCAGAAGTTAAAAGGGATCAATGCTGACAGACAATTTCATGGTACAGCTTAAAACAAAATCACTTACAGTCAATGCCTGCATAGCAACATGAGGATCTTTGTGGTTCACCCTCCTCATAATAGACCGAAGACAATCTTTAGGTCTACAAAATGAGAATTGTAAATTAGTAAGTAGCACAACTAGCTAGGCAACAGGCTACTATTATGGTAGAGTTATTAATTTTTATTAATGACATGTCTGAAACCCTGTACACTAATTAGTTCCTTTAAAATTTTTCAAAAGTAATTAAGCTTGTTTACTTAGCAATCATGCATTAGGCATCTCAGGCTAATGCTAGGTGAAAAACATTTGAAAATAAAATGGTAGGCCAAGACTCACTTCTAGTTGTGACAATAAATGTGACCAGATTTGTACTCTTTCAGTGAACAACAGGAAACGCAAAGGTACATTTAAAATATACAGTGGACGTGTCCCAAGGCCTCCATAGTGATGGCGGCTTCCCCGAGCCTGAGATGTGCCTGCAGTCCCCCAGGAGACTATCACCCCTGAAGCTCTTGCTCCCCAGTGACCATGCCTTCAAAACTAGACCTGCTAGAAGAGCACAGCATAACTGGGAAGAGGGCACTGCTCAGGCACTGGAGAGATGTAACACAGACAAGGCCCCACAGTGAAGTTAAGACCTTTGTGATGGGGGGTGAGCTCACATGGGAAGTCTGACCAAGCATCCAACCTCAGCTGGCACTGCACCATGGGGTTACGTGACATGTGAAACCAAACATCTCACCTATGGTGAAATGGCCCAAATGGCCATTCCTCCAAGCATAAGGTGTGCCACACAGTGAGCTGTCCAAAAACAAGTACTTCAGCTTAAATTCCACTTATCAGACTGAAATCTTCAGCTTGGAGCACCTCAATTTTAAACTTGTATTGTTTTTTGTAAAGGAATTTCTCTGTACTAGTTATGGTTATTTTAAAGATTAGCAAAACAATTTTTTTTCAGGGCTCAGAATTGAACCCAGGGCCTTGTGTATAACAGGCAAGTGCTCCACCACTGAGAAACACCTCCAGACACATGTGTATTTATTTTTCTACCCTATACTTTCTTTTCCCATGTTTTTTCTCCCAATTCATTCCTTCAAAAAATAAATCAACTGGAAAGGGTTAAAAATGGTGGAGTAAGGACCAGTAGGAAAATGTAGCCTCCATGAAAACTGGAATCATGACACACAGAAAAAAACAAATGAAAGAAGGAAAGTAAAAGGAGAGCTGCAGGAATCAAGAAAAAACAGGACAACTAGAAACTACCCAACACAGGGAAAAGAACTAAGCAATCTAAAACCCTATCCCGAACTCCCACAAACACCATGTAAGCCTGGGCAGAAGCCCCCAGGAGAAACACAGTATCGGTGGATAGCACCAGCCAAAAGAAAAGTCCATGGTGATGTAAACTGCAAACATGGAGTGAGGTTTTACTCTGCAAGTGACTTCCTCTGCATGGCAGAATTGGAGAAGGCTAGACATGGAGAAGAAATTCAAGGCAGCCTCCACACACCTGGGATTGATATATCAAAAGCCATTTTGGAAAGGGGTTTATTAAGACTGGGCTATGCTGGAAACCAGAAGTTATTGAACAACTGCACTTCAGGGTCTCTGGGGTCACCCTATCATAGTGGCTGGATGAGAGACGGCCATAAACAGTCACAGAGGAGGGGAGGGTATTCGCTGAACCCCTGAGAAGTTTAAGCAGCACTGTGCTGAATTTATGAAAGACATGGATGGTGATCTCACACTTGGTGATGAGAAGCCAGGCTGGTAACAGACTTTTCGAGGGGTCTGGACCTAAAGGGCTGACATTAGATCCAGCAGACTGCTTGGTCCTCCTTGCTGCCTACTTTCAGCACAGAATTCAAGGTCCATTTGCTCTTCTCATCTGTCATTGTAATCAGGTATAAACCTTGGCTTTGACAGCTGCCACATCCTGAGGTGCATGGACAGAAGGGCCTCTGGGGCAAGGGAGGCACCTTACAAGTCCACAGGCCATAAAGCCAGGTGGAGACAGCAGTAAGGTGGGGTGCACAGAAGGGCACAAACACTAAGACAAGCTGGAGTGAACAGAACCATGAAGCAGAGAACATACCACTGACTCAAAATCCCCAGTGGGGGAGCCAACACAAGACTCAGCATCCACAGAGCAAAAAGTAGGTATGGAAACAAAACAGGCCCTTAGTTTTAATTCACTATCTCTTGCAGCTTGTTGCTAGATGTCCCCAAAGCCTTATGCAGCCACAGGTGGGGCTTTTTCAGAGGTGGGTGGATCCAGATGGTGACACTGGATTGATTCATGGCCTTGCCAGGAGGAAGGGCACTAAGACTAAGAGTGTGAGTGCTACCTGCCCTAAGTACCCTGGATAAGATATAAGGGAGAGAAAGAGCTGTGGTCGGTCCTTGATTGCTTTGATACCTTCCGCCCACCATAAACTGTTCCACCTCTGTGATCCCTCTACAAACTGAACTAAATAAAGCTTTCCTCCTTTAACTATGGGTGTTGGTTAGTTTGTCTTGGCGACAAGAAAAGTAACTAAGACAATATCCACGAATATCTGGTATATCTCAAGGCTACAGATTCTCTCAGAAACCAGCCACTTAAACACAGGGAGGAAATTTTTGACTCATTTTTTTCTTTTTGTTTTCATTTTTCTCTTTTGCTGTTTTTACTTTTATTCTTATTTCTCTTGTTTGTCCTTTTCTGTTAGCTTTACCTAATTCTACTAACCTTTTATTCTTTAATTGAGCTTTTATCTCACTTTTCCCCCCTCATCATCCTTGTTTCTTGTTCAAATTTTACTTCTTTTATTTCTTCTCCCCTATCCCCTTCCTTTCCTAATATCATTACTATTAAGCTTCAACTTTTAGGTATTTAGCTGACACTTGCTGTTACTACTGAATTCAATTCTTTTCTTTTAAACTGTTCTGGATATTTGAACCCAAGGAGTGCTGAGCTATATCCCAGCCTTTTTATCTTGTTTTTAAATTTGTGATAGGGTCTACTGAGTAGCCCAGAATGGGCTCAAAACTTACAATTCTCCAGTCTCAGCTTCTCAAGCAGCTGGGATTACAGTTGTGTGACACCACACCCAGCCCATCAGACCATTCCTAATAGGCTACTATACAATCAAACATACGCTAACCGTGATCAAAGCTTCCTAAGCCTTCACTGGCTCTGGGATCTGGAACATGCTAGGCAGTATGGAAGTTATTATTACTTTTCTAGAGGGCCAAAAAGACTGGTGATCAAAAACTACCTAACTATACATATAAGTAAACAAGAGGCATCAAGTTGCTACTTTAATTAGCTGTTCAGAATCCCTTTACCACAATCAGACTGATTAAAACAGGATTATGCTACTCAGAGGGTCTAAATCAATGAAACACTGGTTTTGACAATAATTACAGTCAGTTCTTATTTTGATCTTCCCAGGCATTTGTGCCTAAGACTACTCCGCCCAGCAAGGAAAATTTTCACATAAATATGTACCATGTTTCAGAACGGTGGCTTCCATAGTGCCACAGTCTGCCCATTCTATTAGTTGTCTACTTCCTCCTCTTCATGCTCTTCTTCCAGCCTTTTTCATCTTCATCATTGTCCTCAGGCCAGTGACCGTTTTGGTCCTATGAATCTGTTTGGTGTTTTTTTTTTTGTCCCTGTCCTTCTTGGGCTCTGCAGCTTCCTTCTTGCCTTTTTGTTCCCACTTATTTGTTTCCAGAGCTTCTTTTAATGGTGTAATACACTACTGGAACTCCATCTCTTCTATGGCCAAAACCACACTGCTGGCACTGAGTGTCTTGTACTAACCTTTCCTTGAGAGATTGTTGGCACAGGATGTGGCTTACAGCACAAAGGCGCTGGCAGTGGAGGAGGTGGAGCTGCAGGTCTCCTTGGAGATGACACCATCCAGGAGTAGCGCCTTCTGGGGCAGGTGTATGTCCTTAGCACTCTCTGTAACAGCTTCTGCAAGGGCCTGAGCCTCTCCTGCCACAGGCCTCCTCTTCAGGCAGCTACCATATCTGGACCTAGTGCTGAATTCTTTTCTACTGTTAATGGTGGTATACTTGTTGTTTTTCTTAGATAATTGCTGTATGTCAATACTGGTTTATATTTGTGTCTACACTATTACTGCAGATCTCTTTCCTATTAAGTATAGTATATTGGTAACTATTATTGATTCACACAGAATGTAAATAACTAGTTTTTTACTTTATTAATTTTTTCTATTGCTAACGGTGGCAGAGCTGTTACTTTCATTTGGTTTTCACTGTATGCCAATATCCGAGTTGTCTTTGCATTGCCCATACTACTGCAGTCGGTTTCTCCTAACTGGTATGGGAGATTAAAGCCCTAGAAGAAAGTTAGACACTAAGGAGATTCTCAAATATTACAGTAACTAGTTGAATAGGGGTATAAACACCAAAACATAATCAAACCCAAGGACATATCATCACAGGTAAACAGAACTAAAGAGATCTCCATGGTGGTGTCAGCTTTTCTACCCTAACTGATCTCAGCCCACAGCATGAAAAAAAAAGACACCCATGAGAAAGCAAGGCAACAAGAGGTCCCAAAACCCTCACTCAACCCAAGCCAATCATAAACACTGACTTAGAGGAAGCTAGAGGAAAAGGACTCAAAAACTAAATGGTCAAAATGTTTGAAGAGATAAAAGAAAAATCACATAAGCAAATTATAAGATGTTTTACAAGCTCAAAGAGGATTTAATTAAACAGATAAAAGATTTCACCAATAAAATGTTCAACAAGGTTAAAGAAAAAATAATAAACTGATTGTGTTAAGCAAGACAATACATGAATGACCACTTCATAAAACAATTAGAAAGAATGAAAAGCAAGCAAGAAGAGACAGATGACAATGGGAAATTCAATGGAAAGCATGGGTAGCAGACTTGACCAAAGTGAGGACAAAGTGTCAGAAATAGAAAACAAGGTGGATGCATTTACTAAGTGTCACAAAAATATACTAATACAAAATTTTGAAAGAAAAAAATAAATAAATGCTTTGGAGGTTAATAAAAAGAAGTAAAATATATGTTGACGTAACTAACTGGGGTAGTTAGGCTACAAGTAGAA